GAGCGTATTTTGAATCTTCATCCCATAGGACTCACAAAGCATGCTGGGAAAGGTCAAGCTACTGATGGGATGTCTATTCCCTATCCTGGTTGAACATTCACGTTCTCCCCAGCCTGGATCTCTCTGTGCATGTCTCTGTCAGTCTGTCCAGCCATAGATCCATATAACTATATATACCTATATCTCTCTCTCTTTCTTTCTCTCCCACTTTTGTCATTATGCCAAGTGTTGGACGCTGGAACAACATTAAACTATTTAAAAGATTAAAACGATACCATCATGCCAGCAGTGATGTTGTAAAGTCATTTTAAGACCAAGGTGATACAATGTTCAAAAAGTCCACATTCGCACTTATCAGGAGGGTCCATCAGCCCCCATCCATGTCCCTCTATTACCCTCTCCCCCCTTCTCACCCCTCTCTCACCTCACAGCCCCGCCTCAACTGAGGCACTTTTGCGGTGTCTAGCCTGATGGTTGTACAGCACTACCAAGCTCTATAAATCAGCACAAGTGGTTTAAATGTTTGGCTTTGACACAGTTCTCAAGTTTAGAGACGGGTGGGCTGGGTTTTGGGCTAGGGCCGCAGGGGTGAGGCTGGGCTGAAATGGAGAAGGGGCCATGGGGGCAAATCCAATCCAGTGGTCAAACTTTAAAAGGAGTCCTCATTCCCCATGCTCTGTTTCAGTCTGTGTGGCACCTCTCCAAATAATCTAGCTGTTATTTTTGATACCACAGGACAATCTGTGAGTACTTCCCTTCAACCAACGCTGACGAAGGCTGCCGCCGAAACACAACCGTTTGTTCTGACCTCTGCTGCTAAAAAAATACATTAAAACATAAAGAATATTTCAGTGAGTGCAGGTTTTTCCTTCCAGTATATGCCTTTTGAAGCCAGCAGCCAAATATCTTTTGTCACTACAAACATTTGAGCTAAGCCCGGCAATTTTTCTTTCCATTGATTTGGTGTACCCATTTCCACCCATCACTCAGTGGTCTCGTCTGTCAGTGTGTGGTTGTCAGTGTTTGGTTGTTAGTGTGTGGTTGTCAGTGTGTGGTTGTCAGTGTGTGGTTGTTAGTAGGTGGGTGTTGGTATGCCTGACTGTCAGACCATAAAGACAGGTTTAATCCCTGGATCAAAACAGGCATCAATGAGAGACTAACAGGGCCCATATTATAGATTATGACAGTGGGATTAGGAAAGGTGGGGGTTGCTCGAAATTTGAGAGGACAGAGGCGCATATCTGTGCTCCCAATAAAACAAAACTAAAAGAAGTGAAACCCCTGCTAAAACAAGTTGCTAAGGGTTGGTTTGTCGATTACTTTTAAACATGCAAGGCAGTTTGGAGAGAGAGGGGGGGAGTGAGAGAGGGTTAGGGTTATATAAAGTATGTTAAGTAAAGGTGAGAGAAGGACTAGTACTATTTCTGTACTAAAATACAAGGGGGCGTGTTAGTAGGCTAGTGTGAAAGGTCCCGTGGTGGTATGCCACAGAGGGGGTATCAGTTCGTGGAGGGTTCTCTGTGCCCCATTAGCAGTGTCAAAGGTCGGGTGCCCCGGGTGTTAACCCTGGTGACCAGTCTAGCTTCCAGTCTGCCAGGGGACCCTGGGATCCAGCGGTATTTATTACCTCCTCCCCCCTCCCCCAATCTCCCCATGGAGGAAAACAAAACACCCCCATCCCTCACCACAACCCACTCCATATACTAATTGGATGCATATCCATACATTGATGCATGATGACCCATCTGTAGATTTCTGTATCAGTGTAAAATATTCTTAGGTCAACTCTGGCCTATGCAGAAATCGGCCAATAGCCAGTAGCCTTGGAACTTGCTTGACCCAATACTCATATATTTTGTGGATACATTTCAAGTTGGGTTTACATGCATTTTCTTTTAGAATGTGTGCGTTTATTATAGAGTTTGTGTGTATGTAATGTGTGTGTGTGTGTGTGTGTATGAGTTAATGTTCTCAGTGTGTGAGTGTGGCAGAGGAAGGTCCTCAGCATGTCAGTATGTTTTAATGCCTCACATCTGGTTTCCTAATTTTCCTCCCCCCCCCACCATGTCAGGACACTGTTTTGTTTTTCCAGGGGGGGACGATGGGTGGGATGTCTGATGAGTGATGGCCCTGAATAAAGGACGTCAACATTCTCCCCTCTCCTCTTTTTGTCTCTCCCTCTCTTCTCTCACTCTTTCAGCCTTTTCTTCCGCACCATCTATCCGCACCTTCCCTCTCTACTTCCTTCAGTCTCTCCGCCTGTCTTCTAAATACTGATTGAAGCAAGATCATGCTTCTGACCTGTCACTCCATCCCTGCTCTCTCTCTCTCTCTCTGTTCCTAGATAGAGAACAGAGCCTCTCCCACCCTGCCAAACTAAATGCTCTCCATTTTAGTCCTCTCTCTCTGTCTCTCACAGTTCAAATCCCTCCCAAGTCTTTTTTTGAAATATGATTGTCATCAATGCAGCTGTCCCAAACAGAGGACCAGGCTCACATGAGATAAAGGGACTGTCCCACAGGAAGACGAGGTTGCAGGAACTAGTCCAGTTCATATGATCTATATAAAGCAAAATATTGTAGCTAAATCTATGCACCATAGCATACAGATCTAATACACTGATACAGACACTGATACAGCTGTGTGTCTAATCAGTATATAGAGTGTGATATATGGTGTGTCTCTGTGACATGGCAATTTAAGTCAGTTGTAATTAAGGTTGATAAATGCCAATAAAAGTTATTGTTAGGGGTCCTGTGCAGCTCATGTGCTAGCAGTATGATTAAGTATCAAGGCTCAGGATAAGACCCAGATGCAGACAGTTCAAAATTACAAAAAGTTAATTTACAAAAACAGGGGGCAGGCAAATGACAGGTCAAGGGCAGGCAGAGGTCAGTAATCCAGAGCAGAGTCCGAAAGTTACAGAAACGGCAGGCAGACTCAGGGCAGGCAGAATGGTCAAAACCGAGAAAAACAGGAAACCAGGGACTAGAGCAAAACAGGAGTAAGGGAAAACCACGGGTAAGCTTGACGAGACAAGACGAACTGGCAACAGACAAACCGAAAACACTGGTATAAATACACAGGGGATAATGAGGACAAATGGGAGACACCTGGTGGGGGTGGAGACAAGCACAAGACAGGTGAAACTGATCAGGGTGTGACAATTATGGCCATATGTAAAGGCTCAGCTATGTTTAACAGATGCCTCAGATAGGACTGACGGAGGCTGAATGTGGTCTGTCTGACAGTCAATGCCCCCGTGAACATTTACATTTTAGTCATTTAGCAGACGCTCATATCCAGAGCGACTTACAGTTAGTGCATACATTTTCATACTGACCCCCCGTGGGAAACGAACCCACAACCCTGGTGTTGCAAGCGCCATGCTCTACCAACTGAGCTACAGGGGACTATGAAACAATTATGGAGTTAAGTTTGTAACTTTGCTGTTATTGCAATGTCATGATTTACTCTAGTTTTTTAACTAGTTTTAGTTAAGCAAGTTGTCACCCTGCGGATTGCTCATCCCATGCTGTGAGGCCTGTGTTTAGTATTGGGAACTGAAGCAGATGCATACAAAGGGGATTTGGAGGCCTTAACAGAGATACAGAGGGGAAAAAACAGACTCACCATGGAGCCAGTGTGGAAATTGATCCCAAGGCTTAAGACTTGGGCCTACCTTTTGTTTGTGTTTCCTAGTCAGGGTCTTTGAGGAGGGTAGTGGGGAACACCAGTTGGAGGGGTTATAGCTATAGCTTGATTTACATGAATGACAACTGGACAACTCATAAAATATTAAACTTGCATCTCAACTTGTCACAAAATGTACCCTCCCCCAAAATTAATTTCATAATTGAATAGTGGGATAAATATGCATTCCAGTGACAGTTGGTTATGGAATAACCACTTTGAATATGAGAGGCAAAGCTGCAAATGCATACCTCTAAGCCACAGTATAGCTAAATGAGTTCTCCTTTGAAAACGGACATTCAGATCACCTCCAATGCTTAACAACTCCTGCTCCTCTCTAGCCTATGGGTGGGGAGGTGTGTGGGCGTATTGCATTATCAAAACAAAAACAAACAACCCCGATATTAAACTTTTGCGACCACAACAGAGGCGGGAGAAAAACAGAGGGTCCTCGACTTCTTATTAATTATGCAAGATTAGTCTAATTATAATTCAGCAAATGAATGTGTGGCAGAAGGTGCGAGGCGACGGGGCTGGGAGATTTGCATGTTAAGTGGGCAGGGGGAAGCGGCTAATGCATGCTAATATATGCACCAATGTCTCGCTTTAATTTCAGCATTTGCAGCTGTGTGCGTCCGAACTGAGGGGGCTGTAAGTTGACTGAATGGGTTTTTGGGGAGGACAGTGGTGGGGGGGTTGTATGGAAGTATGTATGAGTGTTTATAATGTTACACAAACAAACACAGTGAGGGAATGATGAATGAAAGTCAGAGGAAAGGAGCAGTCCAACGCAAACTGACCAATGGGGATGTCGGCCTAGAACTTGGAGGGTCGTCGCTACATGTGGAGTGTGTCTTTAAAGGGATGTCATGCATCCCTGCTGTGAAGTCACCAATGTGACTGGGTGGAGTGAGCGGTCATTGTTGGCTGGGTGCACTTGAAGTGGCCAGAGATCCAGAGAGCAGGTGGCTGGGCAGGGAGAGGAGCGTGTCTGTGTCTGGGACAGAGCAGGGCCATGGCCACGGTCATTTAGCCCAACAAAGGAGCCCGCAGTAATGTTATAAATTACTCTGCCATGTCTCTTTATGGGGGTTCCCACATGAATTTGAAGCAAATTGATAAAGAATGTTTCCCATCATATACCAGAGTAGAAGTCACATACTGAAGGATCTTCAAGTGCACTGTTTGAAAGAAGTGTTTGAAAACAGCAGAACATAATCCAGTATATCTCTCATCGGTGGCTATGAAGCAAACTGGATTCAAACACTGAGCATAAACTACTGACATATCATATAAATCATGACAGCATGATAGATACAGTACAGAGAGAGGAGAGAGGGAGTAAGGGAGGGAGGGAAGGACGGAGAGAGAGAGAGGGAGGGAGAGAGAGGGGGAGCGAGGTAAGGAGGGAGGGTGAGGGAAGGAGAGGAGAGGGAGGAGATGAGAGCTGAGGGAGATTAGGAGTACAAGGAGGGCGACTGGAGGGAGTTGAGGTCTGAGGAGGCGAGAGAGAGACCTGAGAGAGCATCATAGAGTCCTTCTTGAGAGAGAGAAGAGAGCCCCTAGAGAGAGAGCGAGAGAGAGAGAGAGAGAGAGAGAGAGAGAGAGAGAGAGAGAGAAGAAAGAGCCGCTAGAAGAGAGAGAGGGGACGAGCGGAGAGAGGAGATGAGGAGAGAGAGAGATGGGGATAGGGATGTAAAGAGGAGGAAGTGGTAAGAGGGAGGGAGAGGCGATGTGGCCTTTTGCACACATCCACCCTGGGCCCAACTGTAGCGGAGCTGTGAGGTTGGAGGTCCGAGCTCTCACTGATAAATCAGAATCACCCTTCGCCAACAACAATATTGATTGTCCTCCGCTGAAATAGCTCAAATCAAGAAATATTGGACACTGTCTTGGAACCAAGCGCTTGTTCTGAGCCAGGGCCTGTTCACTAGGGAGGAGGGGAGGGAGTGATGGAAGAAGAGAGAGAAAGAGGCTGAGAGAGGGAAGGAGAAATTACCATTGAATGGGACGGTCCTGGGCTGCGGGGCCAATATGAAGTCCCTCTCCAAACAAAGTCTCTCCATTAATATGACTTATATCTGCAGTGAGCTCAATGTGGGTGGGATCGGATATCTATCCGCCCAGCACCAGCTCCAGCCTCTCTCTCGCCAGCATTTCTCCTCATCACTGTTGTTCTTTGTTTAGTTTCAGCGTTGGGTGTATCACTGAAATTGAGGCCAAATTTGTGGCTAAATGTTGGGACTCAGTCAAAAATGACAGAGTATCTGATCCATGGACACACATATATACACCAGTAGTCCTGATCTCTACACCACGCCCATTCACTCTCATTCTCTTCTTGTCTTCAGACCATTTCATTACTCCCTCAACTCCCTCCACTATCTCCCCTGCCTCTCCCCTTCTATCACTTCCTCCCCCCTCCTCTCTCCCTCGCTCTCTGTGATGGAATGTGTGTTCCTTGTGGTTGCCTTCTCTTTCCCTCTCAGCGTGGGGACTTTGGGATTGCGGCAGAGCCGCGTTGCCATGGCAGCGGGCTATGTTGCCGAACTGTGTACACCTGGGATTTGGAGTCTCTCCCTCCTCTCCTCTCCCCATCTTCATCTCAGTCTCTCCATCTCTCTCCTCTTCTCTGCTCTAGTGGAGGCTATCAGCACCCCGTCTCTCTCTTTCCACGCTCTGATCCCCCTCTACACCCTCACATACTCCCCCCCACACACACACCGTTAATGAGACACATCCATGAGAAAATACACACACAAACCTCATGCAAACACATGCACACGTACATACAAACACTCTGTCTCTGTCCTCCTTTCACTTTCTCTCTAGTTGCCTTTCTCTCTTCCCCCACTGTTCCCATGTTGTTCAGATGCAGCATGGTGGGATACCATGGTCCCCAGAGTCCCCTGGCATACATCATGGTCTCCTGTTCACTTTGAAACACAGCACCAGTTTTCACTGGACTGCATTACAAATTCTCATTATTTGATTTAAAGTGTAGTAACATTGACTCTAATGCTAAAGTAAACAGCAGTGATTAATGCAAGGTCAGATATCACGCAGCAGCATTGACCACACACACACGCACATGCACACACATACGCAGACACACACACACGTGTAGGCATGTACAAACACTCAATGTTCATAACACATCTCTGGCCAGAACAGCAATCAGCATCTTCTTGACTGATTTGAAATGATGAATGCCAATAAATAAGGCCAACAAATAATGAATGCATTGTTCTTCCGTGTTATGTTTTCCTGTCTATTGAGTTATTGATGTCCTATTTTTCTTTTACCCCTGCAGATTCTTCTTGAAGTTTTTCCTGAAGTGTAACCAAAATTGTCTGAAGACAGCAGGGAACCCAAGGGACATGAGGAGATTTCAGGTATGGAGAGTAGGAGATAGAGAGAGGTGTTTGTGTGTATGCATGTATACCTATTTGTGTATGTGTGTGTGCATGTGAGAGAGGGAGAGAGAGAGAGAGAGAGAGAGAGAGAGAGAGAGAGAGAGAGAGGGAGGGTGGGTGGGTGCATGCATGATGTTGAAAATAACAATTGATGGTTATCTAAAATATATATTTTTAAAACATGAATTTCTTTCCAATCTACTTTCACAAAGAGGGTGTTTTGTTGTCCAGGATCTGCCCAGGTATAGTTGAGACCACATTTCTCCATACCATAACCTCAAGCACTGGAATAGAGGGGAAAGTTAAAGGTGAAAGTAAAAAATCAATAGAGAAACAAAGAGGGAGAGATGGAAAGAGAAAGGAAAAGGAGGTAGTGGGGTGGGAGAGACAAGGGGGGAGGCAGGCAGGAAATAGGCTGAGGTGTTTCAGGAAGTTGTCAAGAATTGAGTGATTGGCTCCAGATGGGGAAGGTCATGCTCCGTGACCCAGGAAGTGGTCACAGGGGACACTCCCGCTTCACTTCCTCTGCTGTCTTTCAGCACCGTAGCCCCTGTCTGGCATTCTCTCTCTCTCTCTCTCTCTCTCTCTCTCTCTCTCTCTCTCTCTCTCTCTCTCTCTCTCTCTCTCTCTCTCTCTCTCTCTCGCTCTCGCTCTCGCTCGCTCTCTCTCTCTCGGGTCTCTCTTTCTCACAGCTCTCTCTCTCACTCTCTCAGCTCTGCCTCTCTCTCTCTCTCTCCCTGTTTTCCACCATGTTTGTTTTAACTCCTGCACTGTGACACATGCTGAGAAGTTATGAGCGGGCGGCCGCTCCAAGGCCCTCACCTCCAGGTTAAAAGACGATCGGAGCTGGACAGGAGCCCGTTGCTGCTGCTTGATCGATAATTTACTGTTATTTTCCTTCAGATTCCTTACATCTCCTAGTCAACCATCTACAAGAACATCTGCTTTCTCTCCCTTTCTCTCTCTTCCTTTCTATGCGTCTGTGCTCCAGTCTCTGCATATGCAGCTCTGCAATACTGATAAATCCTTAACACACCACTTTCTTATGGCAAAGTCTATTTCAAAATATCTAGAGATGAATGTCTTTCAGCATTTCATAGACCCTACGCAACCACCGCCACCCTGTCCTGCATGTACACATATAGATATATGGACACACTGAAACACAAAGACCCAAGGCAGACACACAAGAACACCCACATATTTTGAATGCATGTCCTCCAAGGTGAACATATGTACTTTGTGGAGAGGAAGGGACAAACACATGCTGTTGGCCAGAAATCAAATTAGGGCCACCGTATATCACACTCTAACTCCCAGTAAAAAGAGGAGATTCAGTCCATATGTCTGCTGTCAGTGAGGGATTAGGCCTGAAACTCCAACCACAGCCTCAGGAGGGGAGAGGAGGGGAGGGAAAGGGAGGGACAGAGAGAGAGGCCACAGAGAGAAGGGCGGTGATGTAAAAATATTATATAGTAGGGTTGTCACATTACCCGTTGAGAAATATTCCTATCAACTGGATGTTGAAATTGATTGTAGCCAAGGGATTTTTTGTTGTTGCAGGAAACCAAATCTTACAAAAAGTGACCTAACATCACTTTAGCTACCCTGATACACCGTGCGTTGATATTTTCCACTTCCCCATCCTCCCCTGTCTTTCAGGTGGTCCTGTCCAGCACTGTGAGTGTAGACGGACATGTCTTAGCTGTGTCTGACAACATGTTTGTCCACAACAACTCCAAACACGGCCGGAGAGCCCGTAGGCTGGAGCCGGGAGAGTCAGTGGAGAACGGCATGGAATACGGTAAGACACACACCACTACCTACCCTGAGGTACTGATGCTTACTGTAGCTTACTCATGTTATCCACTTCACTGTGCTAATGGCTAACCTCAAGGTCTAGGGCTGACCCCCTAAAACAGACACTAAATACATTGCCAGGATGTGGAATTAGTTAAATTAAAATGACATTATTGCTCTTCCTCTCCAGCCACCCCCTGTATCAAAGCCATCAGTCCCAGTGAGGGCTGGACCACGGGCGGGGCCATGGTCATTGTGATCGGGGAGAACTTCTTTGATGGACTGCAGGTGGTGTTCGGCAGCATGCTGGTGTGGAGCGAGGTAGCTATGTGGCTTTACTGTAACTGTCTCTTTAAAACAACTAATTAATGATACTGTTACTGATTGAAAACATAAGGGACAAGGTAGCTAAAGCATATGGCTTGTCTCATTAGCACAGTCATTTGTTGGCTGCCTGCTACATGTTGGCATTATGAGAGCAAAATGTGTTATTCTATTAGATACTGTAAACTATCAAATAGTCTCGTTTGTTGCTCATTTTCTGTCTTGTCCCTGTTTCTCTCTCTTTCTCTTAGTTGATCACGCCCCACGCCATCCGTGTCCAGACGCCTCCTCGCCACATCCCAGGGGTCGTGGAGGTCACGCTGTCCTATAAATCTAAACAGTTCTGCAAGGGGACACCTGGGCGCTTCATCTACACAGGTAAACAGACACCTCCTATTTACCTCACAGCCACACCTACCCTATCCAGCAGCCATTCACCAACAACATATCAAACAGCACCATTACATGGGATGAGTCATGACCTAGTGCTGATGTATCTGTGTATGTGTTTAGCGCTGAATGAGCCCACCATAGACTATGGTTTCCAGAGACTTCAAAAGGTCATTCCTAGACACCCTGGTGACCCTGACAAACTGGCCAAGGTGAGTGAGAACACATCACACTACACCACACCACACTACACCACACCACACTACACCACACCACACTACACCACACCAGACCACAGCACAGCACACATGTTGACTTCTGTGATCACACCTCTCCTTACAGACAGTACACACTATGTAACATAAGAGGCTAATGCATGTCTCTCTGTCTGTGTTTAGGAGATGCTACTGAAGAGAGCAGCTGATCTGGTAGAGGCCTTGTATGGAAACCCACACAGTAATCAGGTAACCAGCGATTTTCAGCAGAGGTGGCACCAAGTCACTATTATTCGAGTCACAAGCAAGTCTTAAGTCGAGTCCCAAGTAGAACGGGTCAAGTCTTGAGTCAAGTCCAAGTCGTACATTCTAAGAGCAAGTCAAGTCACAAGTGTTTTCAAGTAAAGTCTCAAGTCAAGTAAAACATTCATCTAAACATGCAATAATCTTTGTCTATTTATTGAGGCTACCATACAGCCCTTTTCATTCTTTTGTCAACACATTTTGATTATGTCATTGTAAAATAGGGACCTTGTAGCAGTCATAAGGGAAAGGCAGGTTGAGGTGCTCAGATTGTAGATTCATTTACAGGTCTTGGTGATCCAATGCTAAAGGGCCATATCATACGAAATATACAAGTAGATTTACCAAATATACAAGGCCCAAAATAAATAGCTTTTGTATCAGGCTTAACCCGTCCTATCTGAACAGACACAGGTAGCGGGACACTACTGCACAGCCTCCCCTTGAGAAACCAAATCAACTCTGTCTAACAGGAGCTCAAACAGGTACATATAAGCACAGCCCCTCCCAGGACCATACAATTACCCAATTGGCAATTACAACCAATAAACTGGTTCTACAATTTAAAAGGCAATTTCCACATCCATTGTTACATTGGTACATTCTTCTTAATCAGACTTAATGATTCTTAATGGTATTTAATCACCATTCATACATAGAACAATAATTTCCTCTTATTCAACGTACTGAATCCAAAGCGTGGGGCGCAGGCCACAAAGCCTATTTCTATGCGCACTGAGGTGCGCATTCTCCTATTACGCACAACCAGAATGACAGAGACATAGGACACAGACACACGGAACTCCGACCTAACCCGAGAAATATGAACAAAGGAAATCATACATTTAATGAAATAAACAGAACTTCTACCTCTTGAGTCTTGTGAACGTTCATGTGTACAATAAACATCGCAACCAGGCTAAATTAAAATGTATCATATGAAACATGAAACAGAAATGTCTAAGTGTTGCAATAAACGGCATGGTGATGGAATGATGAAACGTTAGTAATTATTGTAGGATTAGATGGAATATACATTTACCACATATGCATTTAAACGTGTGAAAGCAACATCAAACATTTCAACAAGAGAACAAAGTGCTCTCCACTGGAGGGAGTTTGGAGAGCGCAAGTGGAGAGACTATGGTGCATCATCGCCACAGTAATAATTACTTTTAACAACAAATTCCAAATGCAAGCATAAGTCAATTATAAATGTCAAGTAATTTTTAAATACCAAAAGACCAGCAGGCCTATGCTAGTAGGCCTAATTGTTGCTTAATGCCCCATTGCTGGTGAGCTTGCAAAGAAAACAGTTAATATTCTTGATCACCAAATTATTTTTGGAGCTGCATATTTATTTATTATGGCAATCCTCTCTCCCTACAATTTGACGTTTGCGCTGCACCCGATCCTATAGCTGTACAGCAAATCAGCAATCTGTTCACTAGCTCACCCGACCGGTGTTGATTGACAGTTTTCTGGTCCAATCAGAGGGCCAAGTGTGCGTTTCACTAGCCAATCTGTTGCACGTTTTTTAAAGTTTTGCAAGGGCGATGCTGCGGCTACTGTCTATGGCTTCTCTGTGTCACAAAATGAGTGACAAAACGTAAAAACACCTGGTCAGATAATATAAAGTCATCAGTCTCAAGTAAGAGGGTAGTCCCGAGTCATGAGGCTCCAATTCCAAGTCCAGTCTCAAGTCATCAAATTTGTGACTGGAGTCAGACTTGACTCCAAGTCATGTGACTGGAGTTCACAACTCTGCTGTTCTTGTCTCTTTTACTATTACTCTTATCAATAACTACTGTAAATCTCTGAGGTCTGGCTAACAGTTTGTATTGTCTGTCTCTTTAGGACATGTTGCTGAAGCGTGCAGCGGACATTGCTGAGGCCCTGTACAGTGTTCCCCGTCCCCACAGCCAGCTGCAGGCCATGCCTAGTTCCCCAGCCCATGGCAGTGTCATGGGCCTGGGCTCATACCCCTCCCAGCTGGGGGTCAGCATCGGAGAGCCAGGACAAACCAGCCAGGGTGAGCAGTACTAGACTTAATATGTGATTCATAGTGATATTTTCTTCTAGTTGGTGCTATGATATCCCCAGTGGGAAAATCACTTGTCTTCCTGTCTTTTCCTTTCCTCTGTCTTTTTTGTTCTAACACTTTATCGGTCTCTCTCTTTGTTTCTCTCTCTCTCTCGCTCCAGGTTATATTCGTAACTCCAGCAGTTTGTCCCCGCGGGGATACCCCTCTGCCTCCACCCCTCAGCAGTCGGGCTATGGGGGTGGTGGAGGCATGAGTGGGGGCTATGGGGCAGTGCCCATGACTAGTCTGGGGGTGCCAGGGTCCCCTGGTTTCAGCAGTGCCTCCCCCACTGGTTCTCCCTATGGTAGTGAGTGTGTCTCCTCTTACTCAATCACTCTGTCCTGTGTTTTCTTCCTGTCCCTGCTACACTAAAACATTGCCCACCATTGACAAAGGTTGATCAGTGCATATATCCTTCTGTTATAAAATAACAACTGATATTCTCTTTCTCTCCTCCACAGTAATGCCATCTAGTCCCACCATCCCAGGTTCCAGCTCCTCCTCCTCCCTCCTGCCGTTCTCCTCCTTCCCGTCCTCAGCCAAACAGAAGAGCGCCTTCGCTCCTGTCCTCCGGCCCCAGGGCTCCCCCTCTCCTGCCTGCCCCGCCTCAGGAGGCAACAGCTTCAGAGGTAGAACCAATCTACAATCTTAGAAACACCCCTTTCTTTGTAAAAAAACATTTTCCTTTATAAAAACAAATCCATACCCACATACACATAGGCTAGGCAAGCATGAACATACAGTATGTCTGACTGTTATTTTGGTTATAATGATTATTGCCATTGTCAAAAATAAGATTTTATCTAAAACATATTAGATTATTACTATTCTCTTTCTCTATAGCGATGACCGGCCTGGTAGTTCCCCCGATGTAGCAGCACTCCACCAACTCCCATCCACCACCTACAAACCAGACGAGACCAGACCACTGCTCCAACACTGCTACCCCCCTGCAGGCACTGACAGGACAGGGATGATGATGGAACACACACTGATTTCTCAACCCCCCACAACTATCCTCACTGATGCCCTGCCACTAGTTGAGTCCATGTTTCATTCATTTGGATGAAAAGGATGGGACAGAAAGAGTCCAAAGACCAGGCCAGTCACTCCAGATGCAGACAGAAGACCTCTTCATCTGCAGTAGCTGCAAAGACATGAGACTTTCTTGGGCCACACCACAACACAGTGGAGCTCTATGGGGTGCACTATGGGTGTCTCTGCATTTTGAAAGGAAAGCAGAATTCAGCATCAAGATGTCTTCACGAGCTTCAAAAGCACTCACACCACCCAATGCTACAGCCGTATGCAGGATTTGGTTCTTCCAACAACACCTACCCCAAACTGATCAACCTCTTGGCTAGCGGAGGTGTGCTAGAAGAATATGTCTGTTGATGATTTGTTGTTAGAGCACTGAACTGAATGGACAATGGACAACTCTGATACTATGTGCTGAAACTCTATGAACCAGGGTGATATTTGTCTCTAAGGACACTGTCAAAGGCATGTGACGACTCCAAGGTTTTTGTAGTAGACTTTTTGAAGGTGATTTACATTCCAGAATGATAGACCCTTTATTTTTTGTTATGATCTCCACGATTTTACAAGGGCAAATTCTTTGTCCTCCAGGGTTGGTAATAAAAAAGTAATTCATATATTGATTTATTTAAGAAGAAAAAAACAAGCAATTTAACTTATTATTACAGTTAGTTTAGGGAATAATATAAACTTGTTTTAATTCCTTTTTTGCGATTGTTATAAATATGATTATCTCTATGTTACCATTCTTGTTTTTATTGAAATCTTTGAGGGTTTTATTAGACATGACTGATGATTAATACATAAGAGAGAATGAAGTAGTACTCCAATGTTCATTTGAAATAAAGTCCTTGGCCAATACACTTTTCCTGTTTTTTCACATGGAACTGTTATGTCCAATGTCAAAGAAGCAAATTACCTTGCTGTTCTCTATAAAGGAAAACTAGTTAGCATATATTATTATTAATTTCATTTTTATGCATGTTATTTCAACACTGATTCCCTTGTATTATTTCATTCATGTGGCCAATTTGAAATTGTATTTAGAAGATTATGATTTTCATTGTTGATTCAGTTGATGTGTTTCATTCCACTGTCTCTGGTCACTATGCAGTAAAGTAGCAAGCACAAACTGAAATCAAAGGGATATATTGGGGATTTGTCATAAACCCATGCAACTGTTCTTATTCACTGTTGTAACACAATACAAACATCATGCTCAGGATTAGAAAACACAGAATAAAACAAATATTTAGCTGACATCTATTCAAAGTTGTTTCTAGTGTTTTACTGGTTTTATTTATTTGATAGCAGTTAGTAAAATGTAAAGTTATTATAATATTTTTTTTCAAAAGCCATCTTTCTTTTTTAATGGTACAGAATAACATGATTGTCTGAAATTGTGATTTGTATATCATAAAGTGTAATTATATTTTGTCCTCCCAAATAAAACAAAAAACTGAAACATGAGGAAAGTAGAAAAAACAAGGTCTATTTTTGTGTGCGCCTGACTTTCTGTTCGCATTTATGCCAATTAGACATCAATAAAAATGTACAGATATCCATAATATGACCCCAAAAACTCTTTAGGCAAGTGAGGTTTTGCTACATACAGCATTATGGTACTATAATTCAGGACTACACCAGGACAATCTTTTGACTCACCTGTACCCTTGTGTAGTTTGACACTGCTTTGTATACCTACAGTGGGGAAAAAAAGTATTTAGTCAGCCACCAATTGTGCAAGTTCTCCCACGTAAAAAGATGAGAGAGGCCTGTAATTTTCATCATAGGTACACGTCAACTATGACAGACAAAATGAGGAAAAAAATTCCAGAAAATCCCATTGTAGGATTTTTTATGAATTTATTTATTATGGTGGAAAATAAGTATTTGGTCAATAACAAAAGTTTCTCAATACTTTGTTATATACCCTTTGTTGGCAATGACACAGGTCAAACGTTTTCTGTAAGTCTTCACAAGGTTTTCACACACTGTTGCTGGTATTTTGGCCCATTCCTCCATGCAGATCTCCTCTAGAGCAGTGATGTTTTGGGGCTGTCGCTGGGCAACACGGACTTTCAACTCCCTCCAAAGATTTTCTATGGGGTTGAGATCTGGAGACTGGCTAGGCCACTCCAGGACCTTGAAATGCTTCTTACGAAGCCACTCCTTTGTTGCCCGGGCGGTGTGTTTGGGATCATTGTCATGCTGAAAGACCCAGCCACGTTTCATCTTCAATGCCCTTGCTGATGGAAGGAGGTTTTCACTCAAAATCTCACGATACATGGCCCCATTCATTCTTTCCTTTACACGGATCAGTCGTCCTGGTCCCGTTGCAGAAAAACAGCCCCAAAGCATTATGTTTCCACCCCCATGCTTCACAGTAGGTATGGTGTTCTTTGGATGCAACTCAGCATTCTTTGTCCTCCAAACACGACGAGTTGAGTTTTTACCAAAAAGTTCTATTTTGGTTTCATCTGACCATATGACATTCTCCCAATCCTCTTCTGGATCATCCAAATGCACTCTAGCAAACTTCAGACGGGCCTGGACATGTACTGGCTTAAGCAGGGGGACACGTCTGGCACTGCAGGATTTGAGTCCCTGGCGGCGTAGTGTGTTACTGATGGTAGGCTTTGTTACTTTGGTCCCAGCTCTCTGCAGGTCATTCACTAGGTCCCCCCGTGTGGTTCTGGGATTTTTGTTCACCGTTCTTGTGATCATTTCGACCCCACGGGGTGAGATCTTGCGTGGAGCCCCAGATCGAGGGAGATTATCAGTGGTCTTGTATGTCTTCCATTTCCTAATAATTGCTCCCACAGTTGATTTCTTCAAACCAAGCTGCTTACCTATTGCAGATTCAGTCTTCCCAGCCTGGTGCAGGTCTACAATTTTGTTTCTGGTGTCCTTTGACAGCTCTTTGGTCTTGGCCATAGTGGAGTTTGGAGTGTGACTGTTTGAGGTTGTGGACAGGTGTCTTTTATACTGATAACAAGTTCAAACAGGTGCCATTAATACAGGTAACGAGTGGAGGACAGAGGAGCCTATTAAAGAAGAAGTTACAGGTCTGTGAGAGCCAGAAATCTTGCTTGTTTGTAGGTGACCAAATACTTATTTTCCACCATAATTTGCAAATAAATTCATTAAAAATCCTAAAAAAAATAATCTCAATTTGTCTGTCATAGTTGACGTGTACCTATGATGAAAATTACTTGCACAATTGGTGGCTGACTAAATACTTTTTTTCCCCACTGTAGCTGATGAGGCGCAGCATCTTAATTGTGGAGTGAGCGTTGCAGACTGTGTAGTTGTGGAGTGAGCGTTGCAGACTGTGTAGTTGTGGAGTGAGCGTTGCAGACTGTGTAGTTGTGGAGTGAGCGTTGCAGACTGTGTAGTTGTGGAGTGAGCGTTGCAGACTGTGTAGTTGTGGAGTGAGCGTTGCAGACTGTGTAGTTGTGTAGTGAGCGTTGCAGACTGTGTAGTTGTGGAGTGAGCGTTGCAGACTGTGTAGTTGTGTAGTGAGCGTTGCAGACTGTGTAGTTGTGGAGTGAGCGTTGCAGACTGTGTAGCTACTGCCTGTAAAGATAAACAACATCCCCCATCACTCTCCTCTCCGGCGGCAACCTTGCTTATTCCTCTAAGGACCAGGCCTCTGGGGGCCCCACTGAGAACCACATGAGCCTCTCCTCCTTCTATCTCTCTGGCGTGTGCCCTCTTTCTCTCCCATCTCCCTCTCTCTCGCTACCCTGCTATTCTTTCTTTCAGTCTTTGTTTCAATCCCCTTTCATCCCTTTGTTCTTTCTCTCCTGCTCCCTCTCTCCCTCTGTAATGGCTTCTCTCTGTTAATGTAATTAGCACTGGTAAAGGAGGGCAGTTAATTACCAGCTCTTTTTTTGATGGGGTAATTAATGTTATGCCAGGAAACAGCAACTGTTTCATTAACACAACGCTCAAAGCAGTGAGGGGGTGGGCCAGGGCTGAGTGTATGCATGTCCATGTGTGCGTCAATGCGTGTGGTTGTGTGCTACAAGTCTGATTGTACACTACAGTAGGGTATTTAGATAACTATACTCAGGGATGTAGTAATAGCGGTTTTGAATACAAAAGGCAGAGCTGCTCTGTGAGAGGACCCTCTGGCCTCCTTTTAGTCTTTGCTTTTGTTTGATTTCTTTGTCACCATCAAGTGGCACTTGTCAAAGAAGTCAAAGCTGCTAGCCATCTCTCACTCTCTGTCCCTCTTTCTCTCTCTCCATCTCTCTCTCTCTCTCTCTCTCTCTCTCTCTCTCTCTCTCTCTCTCTCTCTCTCTCTCTCTCTCTCTCTCTCTCTCTCTCGCTCTCTCTCTCACTGTAAACATGCTGCTAATTTGACAAGTTTAAGTCAGCTTTGTTGTCAGCACCTCAGCATTCATCCCAATGAGTGCTCCTTCTGCCCAGTGGTGCAGGAGCCATATGCTCATCTTCTTCAGGACTGTTTAGTTGTTATTGTTTTGGCTGCTGCATCACAGGTGCCATTTCACTGTCTTATGATCACACATTCAATTAAGGAAGGATGTTACACCACCTGCCGTCAAGCACTTCTCACAGATTTACACAATCTCTTATTATAAGGAGCATCACCATTTTTATGTCAAAAGCCTTACATGTAAAAGCAATATAAATAAATGGATGATATTTTAATATGAATTAGCTCTTCATGTAGCAAGGTAGAATAGAACAAATTAAGAGAAAAAGAAAAGTAGGGAGCATAAGACAAAAGTCCATCCATCCATTTCAAGGGATGTGTTTCTGTTTATATACCCAATTAGCCCTCGGGCCACAGCATGGCTCTGCATTAAGCTGACATTATCCCAGAGTGTGTGCAGTTTGTGCAGTGTGTGTGTGTGTGTGTGTTCATGTGTTCATCTCCTTCTCATTTGAATCTTAGATGATGACCAGCTAAAGGCAGTCTAAAATAGGACTTGAGAGGGGGACTGTTTGGTCAAATAGACGTGTAGATTGGCTCGACCCCACCCCACCCCACACCAACCATTCACTCTCTGCAGCCTTTGGCCAATCAATCACCAAATCCTGTATTGTTGTCCATTAGACAAGGGTTTTCCAAACCCCCCCGGTGCATGTTTTGTTTTCTTTACCTAGCACTAAACAGCTGATTCAAATAACCAATTCATCATCAAGCATTGATTATTTGAATCAGCTGTGTAGTGCTAGGGCAAAAAAACAAAACATGCACCCGAGAAACCCTGCATTAGACCACTGAACCCCCTTTCCTTTTTCCAAAATGAACCCCCCACCCCCCCATCACCATTCCCTTGGGTGTCAGTAGAGTGGGGTGACAGATGGGATAGACAGAGAGCTGGCCCATAAGACAACCCCCCAAACAACCCCCCTCCACAGACACAGACCTCATCTGTCTGTCCTATGCTTTTGTTCACTTTGGAAAAGTGCGCTCTGTGAACACAGAGTGACGCCTCTGCCCCTCTGTCTCAATCTGTGTGTGTGTGTGTGTGTGTGGTGAATGACACTTGCAGAGTATTAGTGTGGGCTGAACGATGCTCAGATGAAGCCAGATGTACTCAATCATCATATTCAGAACTGCATGTTCTTTATTTACACACGGTACCATATGGTACCTCATTCTGATGTTCATGATGTGTGGCTACTGTGTGGAGGAGAGG